GCTGGTCCGAGGCACACCAAAAACTCTCTTCGTGCGAGGTTGCATGCTTAGTGTGACCTCATCTGCGACGTCATGAGCCAGGAGAAGGTGGGCTGCGGAACCATTACAGACCTTCTGACAGCCACGTGGCTTCGAGTATTTTATTAGCCATGAGCATAACTTTATTTTTACCCAGCATTGATTTTGTCCCCTGAATCTCCTTATAGTATATTGTAGAATGAGACTGACCACACAATCACATGCGGGTGACGATTATGGACTATTACCTTACCCACTATGTAAACTTATGTTAGCCATCATTTAACTTAACTGTTTCGTACAATTTCCATCCATCTGACGATGATCTGGTGCGCCAGCGTCGAAAATTTACCCAATAAACCACCCTTTACCAAAGAACTCCTTTTACCGACTTATTGGAATGTGCTCAACTGATACGGCTTCTGCCATTTGTATGTTGTTGTTGCTGTTGTTATTTCCATTGTCCTAACTTGTGCGTTTCCCAACTACCCATTATGTCGAGTGTCATATCGGTTGCAGGTGTCCCTTATTCTCCGCGCTAAATAACTACCCGCAAGTTAATTAGCTTAATCGATTCATTGGCCGTGTGGGCGTTTTCCCATTGTTCTTGATGATTCGCTGGTATAGTTGCGTGCGATTTTAATACAAGTTTATAACCGCTTTTTTAATTAAGTGACTGCACTTGATAAACCCCGCGCTTCTATGCAAACACGAGGAACTCGCGCATACTGCGATACTGCCCCTTACTTAAATTTCAAAAATGTCCAGCGCAAGTCCTTATTTTAATGATTAGATATGTTTGTCATTGGATGTTTTATGCACATTTACAGACTGCGAAGATGAAATGAAGGTCGGAAAAAATGTTCCAAGGTTTGCCAGTGAGTTCAAATTCAAATAATGTCCATAGCTTTTTGACATTCTATAGAAAATGTTTTAGCAGAACCCCATTTATGCGTGTTCATGCCTATCTAGCTCATGTCCTCACCGTGATGCAAAGTTTAGGGGTTTAGGAAATTTCAGATAAATTATATGCTTACCTGTATATCTAAGCGTACATGATTTAGTTAGACGACTTGAAAAAAGGACTTTCTCAATGAACGTTTTTCCCTTGCATAAATATATATCTTATGACCTTATCAAAATCACTCGATTAAACCTTCTCCAATTAACCTCAATGCTACTAATTAATTGATTGCTATTAGTTACTTTTAGTGGATTAATTTTTCACTGTAGAATCGTTTCTTTCTCGAGGGCCAATGTTTACGGTGTGCTATAAGTCATAAGAGCTCCTGTTGCAAGATCCTAATCTTTGTTGCCTCTACTGCTTTCGCTTTTTATTACGCGTGCATCATTAAGGGAAAGCATGTCTGTACGATAGCCGCAACGTTTCAGAGTATAGTTGGGTAGACGACCAACACGGTATTGGGCAATAATAAGCCTAGGATGATAGTTGTGCTGAGAATAATGTGCATATTTATGGAAATAAACTGCGCAGATCCAATCTGTGTTCAATATGCTTTGATTGAATTCTATTCAAGCCACAATACAGCTGATATCTAATATTCATTCGTTTAATTATGTGGATGCCAGTCATTCTCGCTTTCCGTTTCATCCCAGTGGTTCGGTAGAACACTACTCTTGCCGGCAGCTTACGCGATATCACCACGCTATCGCATGATACGGTGAATTGCGCATTTCCAGAATCGGACGAACTGGCAGCTCAAGCCTTTGCAGCATCAACTGGCTCACGGGGGCTATCGAGACACGTGTTAATTTATCGAAAACATCAAATTTGTGAACTTAAACGGCATGAGGATGCTCTCCCTAGACGTCTCTTCGCTGTTAATAAACGTCCCGATTACCGAGCCAATCAAATACATCTGTGAATTCTAATTGAGCAGTCAACTAGAAATAGGAATACCGACAAATGCACTAAAGGAACTACTACTGAAGTGCGCACTAAATGTGCAGTTCCTTTTCGACAGCCAAATATGCAGACAAATAGATGGCGTTCCCATGGGCTCGCCTCTGGCACCTCTACTTGATGACATATTCATGGACAAGCTGGAGAAATTTCTACTAAGCGATTAGATCCACAAGTTAAAACACTACGGTCGCTACGTTGATGATATCTTCGTGGTCGCCACAG